CAGGGGGCATCTTCTCATAGCCGTTTTCGCGCATCGCCTCAATGCTGGCATAACTCGTATGCTAGAATCGATGGATGCGTGAGGAAAACGGCCTCTTCCATTCCTTCTCAATCTTTATATGAAAAACAGGAAGAAAGGAAGGCTCACCTGAGCTGGAGGGTTATGGCCAGAAAAATAACGTTCATCGAGATGACCTCGCGACGTCCTTTCTTTGCCCGCTTCCACGGCAAGTAAAGCCTCGCCGTGGCGATCCATAACTTTCAAAAAGCTCATCATACGCAGGGCAGGAGGATTGAGAAGGCTCAGTCTCAGCTTCTTTGCCCTCCTCAGACATTTCCTGCTCTTCCTGGTGCTATAATCAGCAGAGCACTGGCCCCTGGATCAGACGATGTTAATGAAATAACATCATCCTCCAGCGGCTCACTCACGTCCACAGCTGACGATCGCGAGAGGGAAAACCCCTCTTTAAACTCATCGGCCAGATCCACCTGCGATCCCCACGCACGAGCTCACCTCCGTGCCTCAGCAGTGGCGGGTCCTGAATTGCGTCCATTAGAGCCTGCCCATGGCCTCATCGATGAGTGGTACCTGAAGGGACGCAGTCATCAATCCTCCCACCAATGGCCCGCTCCGTTCTTGCCGGCAGTTCAGGAGGAACCAAGATGTGGCACACACCCTACTCTGCCCATGTTAACCCCTCTACTTCTACCACTCTCACCATGTTTGACATCGCTGAAGATTACAGCAAGCTTCCCCCTGTGGAAGAGGTGGTTGCTGCCCACCTATGCCCACCATCGGCCCTTGGATTAAAAGCCCATGCAGTGCATCTATCTAAACCCTGCATAACGACGTTGGTCTTGGCCAACAGGGCTTATTCAGCGGCTGGCCAGTGAATGTGTGACTAGCAAGACCTAACGACAGTAAAGTCGTCCTCAAACCGAGGCACGGCTACGTGCCAAAAGTGCTCTCCACTTTGCACAACTCCATTACTTGAGTGAAAGTACAGATACTGCTGGTCAAATATTACTCCATTACAAGTGTAAGGGAAACAGGTCAATTTAGCTCAAAGGGAATCATTTAAGATTTTAAAGGGAATTTGGACAGAATCACTGTTTTACGGCTGATGACTGAGACGGCCAGCGATTCATTGAACGAGCCGTATAACATCAACTCTGCAATGGATTCAGTCACATGGTCCGAGTTTTTCCCGCTCTTGCAGAGTATAATTTTGAATATGAGAATATGATACATTTGACAAAGAATTGATTGGAAGAAACGTTTCAAGCAAGAAGATTCAAACACACACATACTAAACATGAATGTGATCCTATAAACTATTCAATAGTTATTCAAAATACATACACAATAAATGATTAAGACCTGATAGTCTGATGTGTGGGTTACATACATGATATGGAGTTATGCATAGAAATGATTAGTTACACTAAGTCCTTTTAGTGTCATTTAGATGCATATTTACATGGAAATGCAGTTTCTGTGCCATTCTCTGAACATAAGGACATGTTCTGTGAATGTATGAAGACCAGAGGTTAAGAGGTCTCTCATAAGGAATTTCAGTCTGTTCTCTGTCATCGAGGTGGGGGAAGCCAATCCAAAAAAGCTCGTGATTGCTATCACTGGTTACCATGTGATGGTCACGCTGTGCATCTCTTTTGACCATTAATCTTGATTACTTGCCCCAAAAATTGACAATCTCCTTGGAATTGTCAATAAGTGTTCTTTTGTTTAAATGCTGTGAGCTACTCAAAGCTGCTAGTTGGTTCAGGCTTGTGGCGCCAGGATCTGATTTACGAACATCCTGTTGTCTTGGGCCTCTGTGGAATTCGGCTCCTCGTGTTTCAACTGTTCTTTATCAAATCTTACATTGTCTGATTCGGTCTGATACCCTACACAAGTTAAAGTTGTAAAGACAGATATAGGTAGTATTAATATTTATAAGTAATATTTTCATTTGCACAATTTTGCAAACTCAAACAAATATGTGTTGAATATATACCACAATATTAACTTCTTATTATTGAATTGTTGTAAATTAATATCACATTTGCAACTGGTCAGTGTTCAAAAACAGCTGGGAAATCACTTCACGTAAGAGTGATTACTGACAGGCTGTCTAAAAAAAGTTCACATTTTAAAGAAGAAGAAAAAAAATCACTCAACGACTTTCAAAGTTGCTACATAGTAACGACTTTCTACTTTGAGGACCTTGATAGAAATGTAGTGGAGTGAAAAGTAGGAAATTTTTCTTTCAAATGTAGTGAAGTTAAAGTCATACGTTTCCAGAAAAAATAATGCTTAAGTAAAGTACAGATACTCAAAAAGTTTACTTAAGTACCGTACTCAACTAAATGTACTTAGTTACTGTCCGCCTCTGCCACTTTGTTTAGAGCTCAAGTTATCACCCTTCTAGTGCTCCCTGCTGCAGATGGTGAGCAGGGTCCCAATCCACCTTGACCTGTTCGGGCCCTTAGAATGTATGTTGAGCACTCTGGTCTGTTCAGATACTCAGAGCAGCTCTTTCTATGCTACGAAGCAGAGACCTCACTGATCTCGCTGGATAGTGAATGGTAGTGCTGGGCGGTATACCGGTTCATACCGAATACCGGTGTTTATTTTTCTTATGATATGAATTTTTTAAATACCGCAATACCGGTTTCGTTTAAATAATGTTCGGAACGCGTTTGAGGGGGGATCATTTTTCACTGTTGCACTGTGGCGAGGACACAGCTGTATGTTACTAAGCGTAAAAGTTCAGAAACTGAAGCTGTAGAACTAATAGAACGTGATGACAGAAGAACTCGTCCACAATATCCACTGACCGCCACACATATCCACCGCCCGCTGCCATCAGCTCCCGTGTCTCACACACACACACGAGCGCGACTTCAGCGCTAGATTTAGCATCTTCAGATGCTTTTAGCGGCTTTTTCCCATAGAATATATATACTGACAAACCTAGCGACTTTTTTGGATAAACCTTAGCTATGATTCAGTTGGAAGATGTCGCCAGTCCTGCCCCGCGAGCGCGAGGTCTGACTTTCCCGGAGAAGTGTCACCTCTCTCGGCGTCTGTTCTGTGCAGTGAGCGGCAGAGAAGCATCGCTTTCAGTTGGCCGCACCGCAGCTGACTCGTCAATAAATGAGTAAAAAACAGAGTTTCCAAGCACCTGTCGCTTACTGACTGTTGGGAATTATAAATATGAGCATAGTCCGTCTATTAATATAATGCAAATATTATTATTTATTTTTTTGTTACTCAGACGCAGGCAGTGCGCTGCATGAGACAAAAAAGTAATATAGCCAAAACAACCGCATAGTCGCTCAACATGCATCTTCTGTACATGCATGTTGATTTTATCAGACGATGACGCGATTATAAATGAAAGTGACTCCTGGTTAACGTATTAAAAGGGGTCGTGTTTAGTCACTATTTAGTGTGGTATATGAGAGTGACTCCTGGTTAACATGTATAAATGAGTCGTGTTTCGTCACTATTTAGAGTGGAACTTTTCTACAATATTCACTCATCATGACAGTAAAATAGAGCATTCTAAGTCAATCTACTGCAGTAGCCTATTTCCTCTCTCAATCAATAGAAAATGTGGTTTACACACGGTCATGCATGGGAAAAAATTAATAAATACCGTCATATACCGTGAAACCGGTATAATTTTGAAAAATACTGTGATATAAATTTTTGGTCATACCGCCCACCACTAGTGAATGGTATAGCCTTGGCTTACGCCTCAGTAGGCTTGCAGTGCCCTATAGGTGTGAGGGCCTACTCCACCAGAGGAATGGCATTGACATTCATCCTGCACTTGCTTATAGCACGGCGCTATTGGATGCGTTCCCTATAACATTAAGTGACACAAAGGGAGAGACCATTCAATAGGGAACGATCTGGTTACTAACGTAACCTCAGTTCCCTGAGATAAGGGAATGAGCATTGCATAAGTTGCAGTGCTATAAAGCTGCATGTGAATCGATGACTATTGCTTCAGTCGAAAGATTCTGATGAAATGGCGCTTTGAGCCAACTTATATAGCGATTGGCTCCTCCCCTTTTGGTGGGTTACAGCGCCATTGGTTTGTGCAACTACACAAAAGTGAACAAATCAGGCTTCAGTAACAGAGTAAACAGGAGTTTCACCATAGTATCAAGCAACGCGACGCTCGTTCGCTCTCAGGGAACCGAGGTTGCGCTTTTACTTATAGTTATTTTTTATAGTTATCAACTTTGATGATGAACTGCCTTTAACTGAAAAATTAGTGTTTACTATTGTCATTTTGCATTATTGACACACTATTTTCCTAATTAATGCTGTTCAGTTGCTTTGACACAATCTGTATTGTTAAAAGCGCTATATAAATAAAGGTGACTTGACTTGACTTTGGTGTGAATGGGCCTTAACTGTCTGTCTCAAACAGCTCCTTAGTTCAGTAGGTCTAGGAGTTGGCCATTTCTAGAGCTGTATTATTGCCCAGTGTATTGAACTTTGGCTCCCTAAAAAAATCATATAGGCCTAATGCACTGTAAAAACTTAGAGGAACTATTCATTTTTTATTATTATTCAGTTTTGAGCTAACAAAACAAGGTAAGAATGGCAACTTTGTGACAGTTACAATAGAGATGCATAATAAACAGTAAGGGCATCTGAAAAAAATTAACTACATAGCTCATTTATGTAGACTGTAACAGCTGAAAAAAATCTTTATTTATTTTTCATCAGGGAAAATAAAGGACATTGGAACAGCAGGAATCAGTTCAGATTAACACCTACAAAAGGATAAAGACTTAAAAATGAATAATATATTCCACAAACTCCACGTTGAAGGCAAACACCTCAATAAACTCGGAGCTGCAGATGTTCTTCAGATAACTGAACATTCATTACAGTACCATGAGTTTTATTCTGAAGAGGAGCTGATTCAGACTTTCATACAAAAACTACTGATGATGAACTACAGAGCACGATACATTAAAACTAAAGAGACCAACAAACAGGATCAAACACAACAAACAGACAACGACTTCTCTGAAGAAGAGAATGATATTTTTGATGATGTTTTCGGAAACCTCTCTCCGTCAGACAAAGCATCAAGTCAGTCTGACCCTGTTCACCCGATGGATGTTCAGATGGCCGTGTTTCATTGTGCTGATGGTTTCCTGAAGCAGCTGATGGTGACTAAACTGTCCCAGTGTCAGTATGCTCTGCCTCTGCTTGTTCCTGATCCATTCACACGACAGATTGAGTTTCCTCTCTGGACATTCAGACAAATTAACAAGAGCTGGAAGATGAGATACACAGACAATGAAATCATCAGTCAACCCCAGCCGATCTACAAGGCAGAAACTCCAATGGTGTTTTTCTTCAGGTTTGGCTCTGTGTCTTCATCCAAGTCTCAGCTGATGAGCAGTCTGATCAATGAGAAACACAACACGTTCTTCCACAGGAACTGCCCAGGCAGCAGCAGAACCAGAGAGCTGATGGATGGAGTGGTGGAGATTGCCTGGTTCTGCCCCTCTGCATCATATGATGATAAATTCACCGACTGTGTTGCGTTCTGTAATCTACACGGTGATGCAGGAGACCATGAGAAACAGCTGCAGATCCTCACTGAAATGGCCTCAGTCAATGTTGTTCTTCTACCACGACTGGATAGGAATGACAAACATGCTGCAAAGATACAAATCTTGTCCAAGAACAGAAAGCCACTCATTCTACTGACTGAGGATGAATCTGCTGTAACTAAGAAGAAAGGGAAATTCAAGATTGGTTTAAAAGACAGAAATCAGTCAGATGTATCTGAAGATCTCAGGAGAGCCATAAATGAGTGTCTCTCAGAATCATCGTCCACTTTCAGACTTGAAGATGTGTCCAAACACTCAGATATCAGAGTAGATGAGGAAGATGATGGTGACTGCAGGAGAGGAAGAGAAGCAGCACATCAGCTGATCAGTTTGCTAAAGACGAAAGAGCTGAGGAAAATCAAAGAATCATTTCTGCCTCATCAGGGGAAACTGTGGCATCAGTGGAGTCAGAAGAACAAAGAACTACATCGACCTCAAGGAGATAAGATCGAAATGGAAATAAGTAGAAAAAAAAAACAAATGAATAAAATCCGCAAACAGCAGCATGAATTTGATATCAGTGATTTTATCAAGTGCTTAATTGAACAAATGTGCTCATATGATAAACTTGAGAAGATGTTTTTTCTCAAATGGCTCAGATTTCTCCTGGATGAGCATACATCAGCTGATCTTACTGCTCTACAGCACAAGTATCATGAAAAGTGGTCAACAGTCTTACAACTGAAAGAGAATCATGATAAGTCAGAACAACTTGAAACGGAACAAACTGAACTTGAGACAATATCTGAGGAACTTCAGGCTGCAACCTTTGGTTTGGAGCACATCATGAGGGAAATCGGACAAATCTATGAATCATGTTCATCAGTGAAGAAGAACAAGAAAGACCTGAAAGACTTCTCTTCTCTCCCGAGTCTTGCAGCAGAGATGATGATCTCTGGATCTCCACTGGAGCTGATGGATGGAGATGCTGCTCATGTTCCTGTGATCTGGATCTCTGCTGTTCTAGATCAACTCGTCCAGAAACTGGGAGACCAGAGAGTCTTTGTGCTGTCAGTTTTAGGGCTTCAGAGCTCTGGGAAATCCACCATGCTGAACGCCATGTTTGGACTCCAGTTTGCCGTCAGTGCTGGCCGGTGCACCAGAGGAGCTTTCATGCAGCTGGTCAGAGTCTCAGACGAGATGAAAACACAGATGAACTTTGACTATATTCTGGTTGTTGACACTGACAGATGAACTTTGACTATATTCTGGTTGTTGACACTGAGGGTCTTCGTTCTCTAGAACTGGCTGGAAGATCAACAAGACATCATGACAATGAATTTGCCACATTTGTTATTGGTCTTGCAAATCTAACGCTGATCAACATTTTTGGAGAAAACACAGCTGAGATGCAGGACATTCTTCAGATTGTTGTTCAGGCCTTCATGAGGATGAAGAAGGTCAGACTGAATCCCAGCTGTGTGTTTGTGCATCAGAATGTTTCAGATGTCGCAGCTAGAGAAAAAACCATGGAGGCAAGACGACAACTGCTGGAGAAATTAGATGAGATGACAAAACTCGCTGCTAAAGAGGAAGGCTGTGATGCAGAACGTTTCAGTGATGTCATTAAATTTGATGTTCAGAATGATGTGAAGTATTTTTCTCAGCTCTGGGAGGGAAACCCACCCATGGCACCGCCAAACCCAAACTACTGTGAGAACATTCAAGAACTGAAGAAATTTATTAAGTCTCATGCCTCAAAATCACAAAGAATGCTGCTGAAAGACTTCAAAATTCATATTAAAGATCTCTGGGAGGGTTTACTGAATGAACAATTTGTCTTCAGCTTCAGAAACTCTCTGGAGATTTCAGTCTACAGGAAACTGGAGAATGAATACAGCAAGTGGTCCTGGAGTCTTCAAAATGCCATGCTGAAAATTGAGAATAAAATACACAACAAAATAGAAAATGAAGCAATTCATGAAGTTGAGGAAACTGATCTTCAAAGAAAACTGAAGAAGACAAGTGAAGAAGTGGAAGAATCAATGTCTGAATTCTTTGAGAAAGACACATATGCAGAAATACTGATTCAGTGGAAAACACCCTTTGAAACCAAAATCAAAGAGCTTGAGAAAAACATTGTGAGAGAAACAAAGAAAAAAATGAATGAGATTCTTCATCAACAAGTCCTTAAGAAAAAACACGATCAGATGACACATCATGAAAACACTCTCTTTGAAAAGAGCAAAGAACTTGCCTTAAAGCTCAAAGACAGAGCAAATGATGAAGAAACACTGAAGAAGGAGTTTGATTTGTTTTGGAAAATGAACATGAAGATCCTCAGTGACACTCCAGCAATCAGAGACATTGACATAATGAACATGAAAGAAATCCTCAGTGACAAGAAAAAAGATGAGTACTATAGTATTTTCCAGAAATACTGTCATGGAGCAACATCGGCTGCTATATTTGGTGAGATCATCTGTCAGAAACTTAAAGAGAGGATGGAAAAGTGCAGTCCCTTAAAAAAAAAAAACGTTTATTAAATTGTGCTATTAGTATACTACTTTTAACTCAAATTAAAAAAGCATACTTTCAGTCTACCTTTAATGCACTTCTCAGAAATACATTTTATGTATTTCTCAGAAATATACTTTGCACTTAAGTGAAAGAAATGTACTTTGCACTTAAATTGTACTTAAGTATACTTGACTTATATTGACAGTATATTTGGCCTATACTTCTCTATACTGATCATTTGATCAAAATATACTTAAAAAGTGTAATCAAGTATTGTACATATATTTGGCTTGTAGTTAGAGCTGGGTAGTAACTGTTTACATGTAATCTGGATTACATAATCAGATTCCAAAAATTAAGTACTTGTAATTAGATTAAATTACATTTTAAAATTCTTGTAATCAGACTAGTTACTTTTTTATTGATTACATGATTACAAACTATTCACATAGCAATAAATGACTGTTAATTTACTGATTCTCCCTAATTCCTCTTTTTCATCTTTTACATCTTTCTTTCTAAAATAGCCTACCACTTATATACATTCGGAAAGTCTTTGTGTTTTGTGGACATTCACACAAAGACCAGTCACGAGTCAGGTGGCTTTAATTACAAAGAAAATTGACAGGTCACACAGCATTTGACAGCTGGATTTATAAATATAAGTGTTTTCTCCACATTTCAACATTGCATCAACTACTTATGAACACATAAATATTTAATTTTAATTATCACTCAGTAAGTTATTTGACAATGTATTACCATATATTTTAGGGGTGTAACGATTCACTCCTTTTCTTGATGCATCGATTACAAACCCTGACGATGCATATGCATCGATCTTGAAACATGGATTTTTGAATCGCGATTTCTATGGTGATTCAATGTTTTCTATATGTATACATATTAAATTACTAGAAGCACAAATCAATGGAGACCTTGAACAGCATCGTTCGTGCACTCACATCTCTCCTTCACGTGCTCCACTTACCGCGTGTCACAGGATTGTGCTCACGCTCCGTTCACAGCTGACACATTTTTTGAGCAGCCAATGTGTGATCTCTCCTTAGTTTTCATGGCCAGTAATGCTAAAGTAAAGTATTTTTACTTTTCTGTAGTTTTTCAATGGCTCTTGGTCATGCCGTCAACATTACCTGAGCAGTCGAAGGCTGCGCATTTATTGCATGGACGGAGCAAAAACAATATACTGTAAGTGTCCAAAGCATACGCATTTACACTGTGTGATAAATGAATTTTAACAATGTTATTAAACCGAATGTACGAAGGAAACCACAGCATTAACAACAACCTTGAGATAAGAGCGTGAGGTTTATCTGTCAATCACATGCATGAAAGTTGCGTTCGTTGCTATAGTAAACAGACATCGGGCACGTTTTCTTTCAGAATCATCATTCGCCGATGAAGAGAAAAAGTTAAATATTAGCATTTTATTTTATAAAAAAGAGAATAAAGAAGTTTTTGCACTGAAAGAGAAGTGATCTTGCACTTATAGAACTTAAGAGGGTTTCATGCCAGGAAATCCCTAATATGGACAAAGGCATCCATCAATCGCTGCAGCTACGCTGAATAAAAAGCAGAATGAACTGATGAAACGTTAAGACAATAAACACAACTAGATAAAAAAGTTCGTCAAGACAAACTTTAGGTTGGCTTGAGAAAGTCTAGCCTGAAAGTTTAAAGCAGTTGTAAAAGCTTGAAGTTTGAACATTTAGACAGATGTTGATAACATGTTTCTAGCATGATTAGCATGTCTTTAGCATGATTAGCCTGTTACTAACATATTGCTGGCATGATTAGCAAGTTACTAGCATGTTTCTAGCATGATTAGCATGCTACTAGCATGTTGCTAACATAATTAGCAAGTGACTAGCATGTCGTTAGCATGATTAGTAAGCGTCTAGCATGATTAGCATGCTACTAGCATGTGTCTAGCATGTTGCTAGCATGATTACCAAGTTACAAGTATGTTGCTAGCATGATTACTTCTAGCATGATTAGCATGCTACTAGCATGTTTCATGATTAGCATGTCGCTAGGATATATAGATAAATAGATAGAAATAGATGATAGATAGATTAGAAATATTAGATGAGTTTGAATGGATTAGAAATTAGAAATGGATTAGAAATAGTACATAGAAGGGAAGTCTGATTGAGTCTAATGGGCTTCTGTTTGTTTACATTTGAATTTTGACAGCTAGGGCCTGTTTCATGAAACAAGTTTACCAAATAAGACAGGCCTATTTCAGTTAGTCTGACTTATTTTGAACCAAATCAACTGACAATAAGTCAGACTAACAGGAATAAACCTAGCTTATTTGGTAAACCCCTGGAGTTTGAATAGGCTTGGCTCATCTGAACATTCCGTCAATGTAAGTCTATGGGATTTTTATGATTTTTAATCTTCATTTTTATGAAAACCATAAGTCAGATCAGTCTGAAAAGACAAGCACACTAAGTCAGAACAGACTGAAGAGCTGGGCTGAGTTTGGTGATTCTAGCTTGAAAGCTCTAGGAGGAGGAGGAGGAGCGTTCAGAAATTTAGTCTAAGAATAATAATAATAACTAGATAAATAAGTTAGTCAAGACAAACTTTAGGTTGGCTTGAGAAAGCCTAGCCTGAAAGTTTAAAGCAGCTGTAAAAGCCTGAAGTTTGAAAATTTAGATAGACTAGATTAGTGGTTCCCAACCCTGGTCCTGGAGGCACCCCAACACTGCACGTTTTGCATCCTTAATCAAACACAACTGATTCAGGTCATCAGCTCATTAGTAGAGACTCAAAGACCTGAAATTGGTGTGTCAGAGAAAGGAGACATGCAAAATGTGCAGTGTTGGGGTGCCTCCAGGACCAGGGTTGGGAACCACATGTTAATAATAAGCTTAAGTAGCAGATCAGTAGGTTGGCTTTCTTTCTTGTAGCCAATTCAAAGTAAGAGATAAGAAAATAATTTATTTTACAAAAAATACATACATATTATTATTGTATTTGACATTTCTGTCACTTCTTACATACATTTCTACATATGCCATGTCATGCCATTGCATCATTAAACTTACATCTAACATTTTTTTTTCTGACTCCATAAAGGCTGCTGTGTAATTTGCCCCCAGACTAAGCATTTAAAGAATTAAGGGGAAGCATTTAAATAGTCCTGTGAATGCACGTAAAGAATGGAGAATCGAATCGTTAATCAAATCAAATGTAATTGTGAATCATCTGAAATCGAATCGTTCCTAATTTGCAAAAATCGTTCTTGTATCAAATTGAAAACCTATGAATCGTGAATCGAATCGATTCGCTGTCTACCCAAAGATTCCCAGCCCTAATATCTTTGGAAGGCTTTTTGTCTTTTAAACAAATTAAAATGCACAAATTCACGTTATTTCTTATTTACATGTAATGCAGGGATTCCCAAACTTTTTTGTCACATGACATGCAGGTAATCAAATGAAATGTTTATTTATTTATTTTTTTAGTAAGTGTTTTATTCTGACTGATGTTATGTTAAAAAAATATTTATTTTAATCTGATATTTTTATGAATTAATTATTTGCTAATGAATAATGAATTAATTATACGCTTTTCATTGAATTCATGTACCTGCAGTTCCTTCATGAACCCCAGTTTAGGAATCCTTGACGTAACTTGACGACTTCATGTCGTCAATAAGAATGAATGGAATATATTTTCGGTCTTTTTTTATGTCAATATGGTACAAGATTATCCTATTTATATCAATGCGATAAATGAGTTGGGTCAAAAGTAATCTAAAAGTAGTCTATTTGTAGTAGTCTAGTAGTAGATTATATTACCTAAAATTTGTAAGGTAATGGATTATGTTACTAACTACAATTTTTGTCATGTAATTTGGAATCATTAACGGACTACAATTACTCTTTTAATTGAGTAGCCTATATTGTGTAATTTTATTGAAGTATTATGTGAAAATGAAAGTAATCAATATATAAATTAATATGCTGAATTATGTTAACCCTGGATGTCATAGAACGAATAATAGTCTTTTCATTAGACAGTGAACCTTTCATTACAAAGTACACCTGTGAACTTGAAATAATGTAACAACACGTATAATGGTCTTTTCATTAGACAATGGACCTTTCAGTAGACAGTAAACGTGAACTTGAAATAATCTAATATTATCAGGAACAGGTGGCTGGATTTGACGCACACCTCCTCATGTGACCACTACCAACCAATGAAATAAAAAGCTTTTTTTTAAAAATGGTTGCTCGGACCATATTCCACCATTAAAAAACAAGGCCAAAAGAGTTGGAAACAATTGTGGCAAATCAGGCCAATAAAAATTAACCGGAACAAAGAAAAAACAGAAAATGACCAAATTTGGAGAGAACAAAGGGTATATAATATAAGCTGACAAACAGAGACTTTGGAATGATTTGGAATGCTGTGACTGTCTTCCCGGCTTTGTTTCTTTGTTAAATAAAGTCTTATTTTTTGACATCTGGAACTCTGCTTCTCCACTTCATTGGCCGCACCCAAGAAAAATCCACAACACCTATTTCATACTATTTTCACATACATACTGTAGTTAAGTTGGCTTGAGAAAACCATCTTGCTGATCTACTATTTAAGCTTATTAAGTTAGCTTGAGAAAGCCAACTTACTGAAATGCTATTTAAACTTATTAGTGGTGCTTGCCTATAAGGCAAAACATCACTATTGTTCTATCGCATATTTCCTCTTTTTTTACACAAAACTTTGGTGCGTAACTCATTCCACACCATTTGTTGTAGACCCATGAATGAGGTGTCAAATCGACTGGCTCAGGAGAGGTCTGCTCCAGCGGTGTGATCCTAAAGAAAAAAGTGGTTTACTATTACCCGGTCGCTCCCCCAACCACCACCACCACCAAAAAA